GCTATTCTATAATAGCTTCTATCAGAAGCTATTAATGGATATTGCCTTTGCCCAATAGGCTTCCATTCAAATTGGCCAATATTATCTTCTTAGGTTAGAGATAATACACATACACATAGCCTGTATATGAAATATTAAGTAGTGCTTACAAATGCGTGACTCACTCTTATTTCTGGCCTGTATCATTTTCCCTGGTCTTCATCTCTCAGCCCTTTGGTTCCCATTTCTGCATTAATTAGTAGATTTTTACAAAAAGAAAGAAAAAATCCCACTTAGGTACTCATTAAGGTGAAGATCTAATAATTTCATACCAGATTTCTCAAAGATTGAATCTGAAATATCCATAATGTTGCTTTCTCTCAGCCAGATATTTGTTTATTTCTTCCATCATCTCAGTGTAATTTTTTTTAGTTTGACAAGCTCAGAGATTAAAGTAACCAATCTCCTTTTTAGGATGTCAGACTTTATTAACTAAATATCTTTATCCCTAGTTTCCTCCAGACTGCATAATTCAATTTATAATTGAAAACCATAATCATTTTTAATATCATCTCACTAGTAACCCTCTCTTTCAGAAAGAGATAGCCTGAGATAGTGAGATGTTTACGACTAGCCAGAACATCTGTAAAGTGGCACAAAGAGCTTCAATTTGTATAACTTCCATTTTAAATTTCTGTTACAATGGAAGACTGGACACATATTGACTGGCTTTATGAGATGGGTAATGTTCTCACATCTTAAAATACTAGAGAGCCTTTTGTGTGTGTGTGTGTTCATTTATGGCATTTAGAGGGATGATGAAATGACAACTGAAGTAAATCTGGTTTTTTGTAGGACCGGCCAATTTGTAATACCATAGAATTGTAGCATTAGAAGATGACCTAGTGAATTGTCTAGAGCAGGACATCCTTTGTATAAAGGATTTCCTGACAGATGCCTGCCCATCCCTTGCTGAGATCTTTCCATAATCTCTCTCTCTCCCTTTCTCTGATTTTAGACTTTAAGAGATGAAGAAAGGCTTTTTTCCAATACAAACATACATAAAGGCTGTATACACAGGTACAATTCCCACTTTGTTCCTAGCCAACAACAAAATAAAACCCTTTTATTTTAACTTTTAAAAGGCTACTATGTTGATCCAGTCTACAGTATCATCTTGTATCACACATTCGATAGCTGTTGTTTTCCACTCTGATTAACTAGCCCCTTCCTACAAGAGCATCGATTCTTTGAGTTTTTAAGTTTTAGATTTCCACTAATTAGATAGCATTTATCAGCCCTATTCAGCATGCTTATTCCTTATGCATTTATTTTTAAAATAATGTTTTACAGCTTAAAATTCAAAGAGCTATTCAATGAAATTAATGTGCATTTTGGATTTTTGTTTTGTTTATTTCAATTCATTATATTCCAAAACAGAGGCTCTGTATAATTTTTACTTAGTTTACTTAACTTAATGTTATCTGTAACTATAATAGTAAAGTTTTTCTATTTCGTTCCCATTAAAACCATTTTTTTACTTCTTTACTTTTTCTTTCAACATTTGTATTGTTTTTATTCTTTAAAAAAAATTATTTAATGAAAATTATATATATATACAGTATATATATTTAAAAAGAACCATTGAAATGGAGATTTTTGGACACATTCTTTTTTGTCACTGCCCTTTTGTTTTTTATTAGCATCTTATAATTATTTGTGAAAATAATAATCACTCCATCAGTTCATCTGATTCAGAATATATTAACATTTCTGCAAAATAACTGTATTAAAAAATTAAAAGCCATTTATTTTCCCTCAAATTGAAGAATGGTGAACAAAAATCAGAAGAGATTTTGGCAAAACCTTATGCATAATATAAACTAAAAAATATTTTGCAAAATTAAAAAAAAGAAAAATTATAACTTCTAATATCTACTTACATCATTAATAATAATAATAATAGTAGTAGTAGTAGTAGTAGTAGTAGTAGTAGTAGTTTATATGCCACCGAACTCCTAACAATTCTACATGGCTCACAATAATCAAACAAAGAAACTGCAAT